TCACGCTAGACATAGCCACCTCTGAAAAAGCCCACTAATACCACATGAGAAGATGTTTTGGTTACATTTCTCTTGTATTTCTGACAAAATACCTGACGCCCAAAATTTGGGAAGGGAAGGCTTATTTCTTACAGTTCTTGGAAGTTTCAGTCCTTACTCAGTCGGTTCCAAGCGACAAGGTGGCATGGTGGGACTGTTCATGACCAGGGGCAAACAGCAAGCACCAACAGCAAGAGAAATAGACACACCCTCTTCCCCCCATTACACTGGATGTTGGCTCCGCTCCTGGGAGGGTGTAGCACTCATACCACCAATCTTAGCACTAGACAACAAACTAATCACAAATGCTAGATTCAGCCATGTCCATGATTGCATGAGACTTGGAGGGGGCACTGACATAAACCATGACGGGGCTGGGTTGTTTCTAGACTCAAGCCATAACTTTGGGATGCACCAGTGGACAGAGCTTTATGCCTCCATTTGCAGGACTACCTGCCAGAGGTATGAAATAGAAAATAAACAGTAAACATAAGCAAGTAAATTATACAGTATGTTAATGAAGTAGAAAAAAGAAACAGCAGGGCAAAGGGGATAGGTGAGTGGCAAGCTGCAGTATTAAATAGGAAGGTCGAGATAGGCCTCACTGAACAAAGAGCAGGAAGACAGCTTGCAGGTATGGGGAAGTGTACACCAGGTCCAAAGAACAGCCAGCACAAAGGCCCTGGGGTGGGGAGCACATCTTGTTCAGATTGGCGGTCTGTGGCAGTGGTGGGACTAAGGACTTCTTGTCCCTCTGCCTGGTTTCCTTGCCTCTGGGCCTTGTCATTAAGCAGTCTCTCTCCTCTCTGCTGCCAGTGGCAGGTGGCCTAGAGTGGCTGTCAGGAAGACTGATGGTTCCAGAAGACTGTATACAGTTTATCAGTATTGAATTTTCTAGCAGGCCTCTGCTGCTGCCATCATTGCAAGGAGCTGCCAGGCTTGGCAGTGTTGTCTGATAATATAATAATCACCATTTATAGTGTAGCTCTGTAGTGCCTCTCCTACCGATGTGGCTCTGTGCCTAGGTGTTGGAAAGATAAAACAGACTCTAGAAGAGCAAGTCAAGTAGGTCCAAATCCATGACTGTGGTAGGGTGGAGTTTGGCCTGTCTCACTGAGACTGAGATAACACCCCAGGATAAAAGCAGCCCTGAAATGTTTTCCTTAAAAACTTTGTCCTGTTAGAATATCTGTTTTGTCTTTTGTTCTCTAAAGTTGGGCAGTTGAGTCATTTTGTCCCGCTTTATCCTGTGGTTTCTTGGCTAGAACAGTGGTCAGCAGATGGACAGTGGGTCATACTCTGAGGTTGCCCAGAGCTATCAGGAGTGTGGGCTTCTGTGGAAAGGTTAGAGAGAGGAGGAGATGGGGTCAGATGACACATTCAGACTTTTAGAGCTGCAAGGAAACTGATGACTTGGAAATGTGGATATAGGTATCTTCGGCAAATAAAATTTTTATTTCAAATCTCTGTTCTCTTTTTAAAATGGTGTGGTAAATTCTCTTGTAAAGAGTCACATCTTTGCTAAGTTGTAGGCAGGACAGGGCATGCACTGGGAGTGTGGGTATGAAATACAGCAGGCCCATACAGTAGGATCCAGAATCCAAAAACAATTTAATAACGTTCTACAGTCTTTTAAAACGAGCTCCATCTCTACCCATCACAGTTGGTCTCCATAGAGGGCTATGTAAGAGAAGATGGCTAACAGTATGGCAGGAGGGACACTGATCGTGAGGATAATGTTCATTCAGAAGCCTGGGGTGAGGGGCTGGGGATTTAGCTCATCGGCATAAACGCTTGTCTTGCAAGTGCGCAGTCGCGAGTTTGATCCCTGGTACCGATTAAAAAAAAAAGTTCAACAGAACCCTGGGGTGCTGGTGCAGTATTCATACTGTAGTGAGTTGCATGACCCTGCAGGTTGAAGAGTACATACCTGAGGACTCTAATGGAGAGGTTAAGTGACCTCAGGGATCTACTTGCCAAAGTGAGGATGGAAAAAGGGAAAATTGCTAAAAGTACAGCCGGAGATGGCCCAGGGGACACTTGCCGTGTCCAGACTAGAATGGGCTTGAGGCAGTGATAGTAGAAGCTTTGGATTGGTGGCAGTGCTCTATGGCAGAGTGGTAAGGGTGGGCTGCAGGTATTGTGGAAGAAAGTGCAAAGATGGCTTAGAGCTGAGGTTCTGAGTTCAGGATATCAAGAACTCATGAGAGGTTCTGTAAAGTATAGCTCCTGCCCCTGTTTCCACAGAGACACAGGATAGTGCCCAGGGACAGGCAGCAGCTGCATGATTCTAGAGCCAGAAAAGCCTGGGCCTGGGCCTTAGTCAGAAGAGGGAAGGGGGCTCTTTGGGAGGAGCCTTCAGAACTCTGGGTGATTGGGGCTGGGGATTTAGCTCAGGAGCATAAGTGCCTGCCTTGCAAGCATGTAGACGTGAGTTCAATCCCCGGTACTGATAAAAAAACAAACAAACAAAAAACTCTGAGTGACTACTAAGTCTTCCCTCGGCCTTGGCCTGGACTTTTAACAACCAGACATGGGGACAGAGTCATGTCAGCACTGTCATTTTAATGGCATTGTGACCTTGGACAAATCTCTTCACCTCTGAGTTTCAGTTGCTTCTACTTTAAAACTGTAGAGTTAGACTTACTGGTTGCTGAGGGGCTTGGTAGCTCTGAAAGTAGGGGTCTATGATTCTAAAGAGTAATAGTTTCTCCACCTTGAGCTTCCTGCCTTACGTTTGAAAGACAGAGCCTTTCTGCTGTGCCCCTGTTCATGGACTGTTGGAATTTCACTGACAGGCAAGTCGCGGTGGCAGTCACGTAATCTCAGCTGCTCAGCAGGCTGAGGCACAAAGACAAGTTTGAGAGCAGTCTGGGTAACACAGGGAAACCTTAGCTCAAAATAAAAAATAAAAGTAGAGCTTAGTGGTCACTTGCTTACTTAGCATACTTGAGGCCCTGAGTTTAATCCCAAGTACCACTAAAAACCAAAGCAAAATGAACAAACAAAAAAGAGTAGAATAAAACCTACGAATGGCGTTTCTAGGGTCGGACCAGTCTGATCTCTTAATGACCCAAATGCAGAACACTTTGTAAGAATACATTAAAAATTAAGGTCTGGAAAACACACACACACACACACACACACACACACACACACACACACTAGGATCCAAGGTTGTAATTTAGTGGCAGAGTGCTTGCTTAGCAAGCTCAATGCTCTGGGTTAGATCTCTAATTGGAAAAAATTTTTTCGTTAAAGTAGGGTTCCATGACCAAATGAGTATGAGAATCAGTAGGCTACACACTATCGATAGTTTCTTCTAAGTCAGGCATAGTGGCTCATGTCTGTAATCCCAGCACTTGGGAGGCCGAGGTAGGAGGATTGTTGAAAGTTTGAGACCAGCCTAAATTACAAAATGAGCCCAAGGCCGCCCGAACTGCGTAGTGAGACCCTGTCTCAAGAAAACCACACACACAATTTTTCTTTCCTCGTCTTCCTTCCCTCCTTCTTTCCCTCTTTCTTTCATCCTTCCTTTTCTTTCTTTCCTTTCTTTTTTTCCCTTCCTCTCTCCTCCCTTTCCTTCCTTCCTTCTTTTTCTAAAATAGACTTCTCAGAGCCTTTAACATGCCAGTATGAATTGTGAATCTCCAAAGAGAAAATACACAGTATTTTCCACACTAGCTTGATTGGAGGAGTCATTTTCATGTTTGAGGGCATCTTACCAGATTAGTGCTTCACAGAATACCACCGGGAAGAAGTATCACTACCCTGACCTCTCTCCCATTAAAAACTGTAGGGGTGGGGCTGGGGATTTAGCTCAGCGGCATAAGTGCCTGCCTTGCAAGCAGGCAGTCGTGAGTTCGATTCCTGGTACCGGTAAAAATGAAAAAGACAAAAAAAAAAAAAAAAAAAAAAAACTGTAGGGGTTCAAAATTAGATAGTTTGTCCCGCTGCCCAACTCTTGAGTTTCCCAGTGGATTAGGAATGCCTATTTTTCTTCTCAGAAACCCCAAAGATAGGCATTGTTTTTTCATGGTCTTCCTAAGCCAGCCATGCAGGCAACACTAGCCATTGTCCCCATTGAACTGACACCTTCACCTTGACAGAGGATGAGCAGAGTATAGGCCCCACTGAGCCTCTTGGTGACCATGTCTGAAGGTCACTGTGGCTGGTTTATGGATATTAGCTGTTGACACTCGAGGCTGAGCTAGGTAGAGGCAAGCTTCCACACATGGAGTTGGCTGTGTCTTCTTTGGGTGGGAAGGACTTGGTTGCACTCACTTGGACCTCAGTTTTTATACCCTCGTTCCATGCTCCCCTCCTACCCCACCTGCCCATCGCCACTCTGCTTTCTCCCTCATCCCTCTTTTGGGTTCCTTCTGTCTCCCAGCTATTCCTCTAAGCAGATTGGCTCTCCTTTTTCCTCCCAATCTCCACTTGTCTTCTTATCCCCTCTGCCCCCCAGCCTGGCAGCCTGCCCTGTAGGAATGTTAATTAGCATTTGCGATTTAATTAATTCAGTAGCTAATTAATGATTGGGGTGGGAGGTGGGGGGTGGGGAGCTGGGGTAAGGGAAGGGTTGGGGGCTGGAGGTGGCAGGGAGAAATAGCAGAGCCCGCAGAAGGCATCGCAGATGGCTGTGCGGCGGCTGGCACAGTGCCCACCGCCATGGATGCAAACACACTTGCGCACACGCACATGCACACACACAAAAAAACCCGGAAAGAGTGATCGAGGAATAAAATGAAAAGCAGGGAGAAGGGCGCAGGGCCTTGGGAACTGGGGCTGGGGGTGGGGAAGGCTCTAGATCCATTTGAATCTGCTCCGGAAGTGGAAGAGCAGAAAAAAAAAGAAACCACAGGCGCAGAGAGAAGAGAGCCTTCCCGATACCCCACCCCACCCCCACCCACCCCAGCCACCCTCCTCCCTGGCATGGTATTCATGGGCACCAGCTGAGGACAGGGTCCCCTCCCTCTGCCTTCCATAAATATTGGTACCGAGGATCCAGACTACGAAGAATTGGACATTCCAAAGAGAATAGTTTTTCTTCTAAGTTGCTTTAAAAATATATATATATATATGTATATAGTGTGTATATATATATATATATATATATATATATAGTGTATGTGTGTCTGTGTATATACACACACACACGTATATGTATATATCTTTTAAAATTGCACCTGTATTGGTATAAGGGCGAAGGCAAGTGAAAGAAGGTGACCGAGCCAGGAAGCGAGAGCACAGATGGCTTGGTGGTGGTATGGTGTGGTGAGTTTTGGGGAGGAAGAGGGGGGTCTGCAGAGGTTGGGGGTGGGTGGAATGAGGATCCTGCTTTCCTCTTTCGCTGTAGATGAAGGAAACGGAGAGAAAAAGAGAGAAAGGGGGTGGGGAGAGAAGCGAGACAGATGGCAGAGTGGAGAGGCGGCAGCCAGTGCCGGCACTGCCCAGCCTGGGCGGACCCAGCTCCCCACCCCGCCTGCCAGCTCTCCAAATGCCACCCTTCCCCCATCTTCCCCTTTACCCATCCCCCCAGCTTGGCACTGATCTCAGGGAGGGAAAAGGAGGGAGGCTGGGCAAAGAGCATCTGTTCCCTCCATTCTCCCAGCTCCATCGGCTGCCAACCTAGGGCCATCGTCTGCCTCCATCACCCCTCCGCCCGCTTGCCTACCCACCCAATCCCAAACGGGTGCTGGATCAGGTGCCGAATCTGGCTGCCTCCTCGGGTACCAGTCACTGTGCATTGCTGTGTGTCTGCCACTGCTGCCTGGCACTCATGGGGCCGTGTGCGTGTGTGTGTGTGTGTACGTGTGTACATGTATGTGTAAGTGTGTGCTGTCTGTGAGCCTCCTGGGCATGGGTGGGGGTTGGCATTGCGGTTGCCAATTTAGTGTCCAACCAGAAAAACAGAGGGATGGAGTGGAAGACAGAGGGGAAGGGTGTGGGGCCTGGGCGGGGAGAAGAGGGTGCATGAGTTGCTTCATTCCGCCTGCTTGCGGGCATTGGCACTGCAGCTGCCATCCTGTGCCCATGGAGATGGGAGGAGGCGAATGGAGGGGCAGCGACAACAGTCCCTGTGCTCTGGGAGGAAGGCGCGGTACACAGGAGCTGTTGGCATCACATCTGTCAGGCCAGTGCCCAGTGCTGGAGCAGAGGGGAATGGTGGACCCTGGAGGCAGGGAGGAGGGACAAGAATTGTTGCTGGCCTTCTAGAAGCTCAGCTCTGAGAAATGGTTGGACTTTGAGGTGGTTGCTCTGTTCCAGCCTGGGAAAGTGAAGTGGTAGAGAGTAGACATGGAAATACCAAGAAAGAGTTCCAGAGCTGGCGAGGATGGACAGTGCCACCACTGCCCAGGGAAACTTGTTTGGGCTGGCAACATGGCCCTTTGTCACAGCACTGAAGGAGACAGCAAGGGGACTGGGGCATGAAGGGGGGTGGCACTGTCCATGGAGACTGGCATGAGTGCTGGCATTGTATAGAACAAGGAAGGGTAACAGTGCCTCCCATTAGTCTGGTGGAAGAGTTGTTGTGCCAGGAGTGAGAAAAGAGGAGGTGAGATGGGGGTCTTTATTTGAAAGAACAGACTTTTTTTCTGCCAGGACCTCCTTCCAATTTCTTCTTAGGCATGAGGAATGAATGACAGATAGAAGGCAGCGTGAGGACACAAAGGAAGAAGCCCGCCATTGCTAAGACCCCAAGCAAGAAGAGTGGAGAGCAACTGCCAGTCCTGCTTGGCCTCCAGCCAGTTCCTTGCTGAAGATAGCCAGGTCCTCCAGCCCGGTCTGTATGTGCCACTGTTGCAGGTGCGGTGGTGGGGGCAGGGCGTGCTTGGTGAGGCGGGCTCTAGAGTGGCGAGGGCACCTTTCTGCCAATCCCATTTGAACCTCACTCTAACAAGCGAGGTGTCTGATTTTTCTTTCTGGTGCCTCCCTTTGCCTCACCCCTCTTTCATCTTTCCATCACCACCTGGGTCCTACTGCTTGGCACCCAACCAACTAGATGCCGCCACACTTGGCAGTGCTGCACTGGCATGTGAACAATGTCTCAAATCCTGGCACTGCGGCAAACCCAAAACCGCCCGACATGCTCACAACGCCACTTGGTGGCAAGGAGAGAGAGGAGCCCGCACACAGAGTGCCAGGCATTGGGTGGAACTCTGTGCTAGGTAGGAAGTGGCCAGAGACGATGCCCCTAACAGCTGGGCGGGGCCAGCATTCTCTAGGCCACCCCAGTTCTGCCATTCTCCTGGACACCCACCTCCCTCTTTTCCTCACTGCCTCCAAAAAGGGAATTTACATGGTGCTCTACTGTGTTTGAACAGCTAGGCAAAGGGAACCCAAAGTACAGGAGGGTGAAAAGGGAGCCTGGAGAGAGACATGCCAGCTGTGTTGTCACAGAAATGGACTGGGGATGTAGCTCAATGGTAGAGTACTTGCTAGCGTACATGAGGCCTAGATTCAATCCCCAGGACTGGGAGAGAGAGAGGGGAAAAAAAGGATATCAGATAAAAGAGATTGGAAGGGATGACGGAGGAAGGAGAGACCTTCAGAGCTTGCTGTTGGATAGCAGGGCAACAGGAACTAGTACATAATTACCTTGTGCCCTGTGATTGGCTGAGCTATAGTTGAGACGAACTTATTGTTTCTCCTTTGTTAAAAGGTTTATATTCAGGCTGGGGATGTAGCTCAGCTGCACAAGCAGCTGCCTGGCAAGTGCAAGGTTGTGAATTTGACCCCTGGTACCAAAAAAAAAAAAAAAAAAAAATGTCCTGGAAAGATGGAGAGGTAGTCTAGGTCTGGAGAGGTAGGCAAGTGTTAGGAAGGCACTGGCACCTAGGACTTGCCCATCCAGAAAGGATGCAAGGAGATTTTGTGGTTAGGAATTTCTCAGTGATACCTCAAATTGAGTTGGGTAGGTTTCGTGTCTTTGAAATCTATGCTAGAAGGGAGAGTGAAGATGAGCAGTGAGCTCATGTGGAGGGAAAGGCCCATTGGAGAAAAATCCTTGCATCTGTAGTAACAGAGACCAGCCCTTTAAGCTGCTATCTGGAAGTTTCTAGTTGGATTGGCTTTCCCTGCTTTTGGGTACAAAGAAACTGTAGGTCAGTGGCCTGGCAGATCTGTGGAAAATTTGGCTCTGGGTGATGTCAAGAAGGAAGTTAGGCCTGTCCGGAGGGAAGTAAAGCCATTCATTGTCCATGTGGGGCTGAGCTGCTCAGGGCTGGGAAAGTTCTGATTTCAGCATCTCTGGAGTGGATGGCAGCTTCAGAAGAAGTAAGGTGGTTTCCACAGCAGAGGAGAAAGCAGAAGGCACTCAGCCAAGGGGGTGAGTGGACAACGTTTATATTTTCTGTCCTGTTCAAGAGCAGCCAACATAAGCCAAAGACACTATTGGATTTCTAATATGTCGGAGTGAAGGGGTTGGTGATGTCACTGTCATGAAGACATGAGGGGAGCCAGGACACCGCAGTAGCCCCAGGCGTGTGTAACAGGGCTGGTCTGGGTGCTGCAAAGTTGTGACAAGTTACAGGTGTACATGGGAATGAGCTCTCTTAGCTGGCGATTCTCAACCTCCAGAGAGTGTAGATCACTTCAGCAGGAGTTTCTGATTCAGTTGGTCTGAGGGATGGTCCAGAAACGTGCATTTTAAACAAGCTCAGGTGACATGATACTCATGGGCAAACCCTGAGAAACAGCTGTCCTCAGAGACGGCATTTACAGTTGATCTGGTCTGGGGTTCTGCTGCCTTTGCTTCTTTCTTCCTCCTCAGCAATATTCATGTCTTTATGCAGGCATGTGTGGGATACGTATGTTTGGACTGTGTGTGTGTACTGTGAAGATCGTTCTTCCTTTCACCCCTAGATTCTCAGTGGTGTTCTGCCCATGTATTTCTCAAAAACATCAAAAAACATTAGGTTATGAGCATTGCCAGGAGATTGTTGTCTGTGGTCCAGTGATACTTGTGTGGATTTTGTGGCAGAGTACAGGACAGGCCTTTGTCACGACTTCCTGAAGGCTGGATCCCAGGGGATGAAGTAGGGTCAGTAGAATACAGGGCCAGACTTACTGCTGACACTCAGCAATTTACAGAGCTGCTGTTGTTTGAGCATTTGGTGGGGATCCAGAAGTGAGCAGTGTGGGCATTCTTCAAGCTGAAAAGCCGCATGCAGATTTGACATCAGGGAGGGACTGCAGTGTGGAGCAGCACTGAGTCCCTGTTACTTACTTGTTCCAGTGTTTTAGCTATTGTTTGTGAAAGAATGTGTGTGTGGTTGGATAGGATACAGGGACAGGCTGGGCTTCTTTCTGGTTCACTTGTGTTAGTTAACCTGCTTCTCCACTAGGTATTAGCAATGCATGCTTGTAATCCCGATGCTCAGGAAGCTTAGGCAAAAAGATCTCAGTGAGTTCAAGGCCAGTTCAAGGCCAGCCTGGGCTACATAGTGAATTCAGGCCCTGCCTGGAATACAGTGAGACCCTGTCTCAAAGAACAGAACAAAACAAAACCTTTGCAACCTTTCTTCCTAATGTCTTTTTTACCTCTCCTCCTTGGAGTCCAGAGTCATTTAAGGAACTTTTCTCCCCATTTCTTATCGACTTTAGTGTAAATGAAACTAGCATGTATTGGCAAGTGTAAAGCGTGATCCAGAGACTCTTTCTGTCTCTCATGTCTCCCTCTCTCCAGGGGGTGCCTTGCTGGCATTTGTGTGTATCTCTGGACACCTGCAGCTGAGGTCTGCTTCTTTTTCTTAGCATCAGTGTGCCTGTTTTGCTGTACTTATATACAGCAAAAAGTACAGTATATTGCTGTACTTATTTCAGGGTTTTTTTCCCCTTTGGTTTCAGATTTGAATATCTTTACAAGGATGAATGACTGGATGAACACATGTCTTAACATTAGTCAGGATGTGGAGATTTGGGGGAATAAATGATCTGGTCTATTAGGTCTGTAAGCAGATAAGGAACAAATAGAATAAGCAGGTGGGTACTACTAAGCCTGGAATAACTGGCTTTCTTGGTTCTTACACACAGTTCTCTTAATTACTCCAGGGCTGGAGGACTAGGGTAAGAACAGGTTTGTTTTTGTAATCCTGCTACAGATATTGCCCCATTTGGCCACTAAAGTTTAAAGTTTCTCATGTTCAGCAGTTAGATTTTTGTTCCTAGTTAAGAAGTACCTTAAGTTATCCTCACAAAGATTCTGGTTTAGAACAAAGACAGCTGAGATCATTTGTACTTCCTCCTCTTCAGTAATGACCCTGGCATAAGTAGGGACCTGCATTTGCATGCTTTTTTAGGATTTCATATTTCAGAAATCTTAGTTCTTTGCTCCAGGCTGTGGAAGTCTTATGAGCCATTGATTCAGGGTCACATTATACATAGGGTGGCTGGAGGCTATAAAATAGATATCAGTGTGCCGGGTGCTGGAGCTAAGTCTATTCCTCCACAACATCCTGTCACCTCTAGTATTCTGCACAGGGCTAGGCTGACTCAGCCCTCTGTCCATCAGAAGTGCCACCATGTGTTGTTCTCTGAAGCAAGGTTACTGCCAGGACATCTAGTGTGAAAATGGAATGCTCCTTGGGAATATGGAACGATGTACCCTCAAGTAGCATGCCAACTGACCTGTCAGCAGCCAGCCCAGCCATTTTCTCCACAAAATTCCAGGGTACAGTTGTTCAGTGGCAGCTCGTCACTCTGCTATGCATGTACACAGTGCCCCAGTGCCTCCTAGGCCAGGGTGTTTAGGTGTGAGGTGTTAGAGGGTCTTTTTTTTTTTTTTTTGGTCTTTTTCTGTTTTTACCGGTACCAGGGATCGAACTCACGACTGCCTGCTTCCAAGGCAGGTGCTTATGCCACTGAGCTAAATCCCCAGCCCTGAGGGCATTAACTCTTGAGGAAGACATTCATAGTTCAAAGTAAGCCAACCTACCCTGGCTGTAAGTCCCTAAAATGCATGACACCATGCTTTTAATCATCCAGGGCTAGGTGTTTGCCAAATGTTCTTTAAAACGTTTCCTCTTTTTCTGAGTTTTTTTTTTTTAAGTTTTATACATGAGTCACATTCGCAGAAAGCACAGAGTTAAAAAGCATCTTTCCTCATATGCATGCTGCTAAGAAAATAGTTTTATACACAGAACTTCAACAGGAGAGAGAAGAGGACAGGGAGGGCGGGGTACAGGAGGAATGTCAAGAAGTGAGGAAAGGACAGCAGCCAGGGCCAGACCACAGTTGGTCACTTTTCCTCTGTTGTCTATATTTGTAACTGCCATTTTTGGTGTCATAGTAACTAGCTCCATCCTGCCTGCAATTGGTTGGGATATGTTTTAATTTTAAAATAGATGGGACAGGAAGTAATATTCACAGAATACATGGGGACTAAGGACTGAGTTGAAATTTTTCTCTCCATCTCTTCTGCACACAAGCCACTGCTTCATGATTAGCATTTATAGAGCAGAATCACTGAGAGACTGGAAAACCTAAGTCCCAGGACTGATTTAGGAATATTAAATGGGCAATAGTGGAGACAGCCCGAGCAGCGTGACCTCAGGGATATCAGACTAGAAGAAAGTTTCTGGGCAACATAGGAAATTTTGCAGGCTTTTCCTTACTAAAATAAAATACCTAATTCTCTATCCTGTCCACCTTAGCTGGGCTTTGGAGTTGCCAGAATTAATGCCCCTGGTAGTTTTGGAAGCAGTGAGGTGAGGAAACTTCCCCCTGGTCAGTCTTCTGTGGGGCCCCCTACTGATAGCCCCCTACCAAAGGCTCATGGTGGGCTCTAGTCCTCTCCTTGCATGCCCATTGCTATGAATGTCTTCCTCAAACGGTGCCAGCTCTAGACCCCTGGCTCCATCGTGGATGCCTCCTCTGTAATGGAGGAGCTATGCTGGGCTAGATTGTGGGGAGCACGACCAAGGGCAGAGGACAGGGGGATAGAAAAGTAGACGGGGAACAGGGGGCTCCGTAAAAGCAAAGAAGGTTTAGTGTCCAGAAATGTGACGGGGCCACAGGGGAGGGGAAGAGTGGCTTGTAGAAAAAGTAAATGAGTAGAGTAAGAGATGCATACCTCAGTTTCACAAAACAAACTGCCCCATCTGCCTACCCCTATCTTTCTGGTACTGCCGAGGTACTTCTGTTGACATTGGCTTTGCTGACAACTGAGAATAAGGGGATGTTGTCTATCTTGGAAATACTCAATTCAGGGGAGAGGGACGCATCTCTCCCTAGAGTCCGGGCTCTTCTCCAGGTTACCGGCCTTGCCTCTGAGGCTGGCATGGTGAGAAGGCTGCAGTCCTGTGAGGATCACCAGACACCAGCAGGAAGTTAAAGCTGTTTGGTTTTTCTCCAGAGACAAGGTAGTTTAAAGACACCCTTAAAACAAGGGAAGGGTGGCACAAACAGAAAACAAAACAAAAAAACCACTTGTTTGATGGGAGAGGTTTTTTTTTTTTTTTTTTTTTGTATTTTCCAAGTTGGTTTTTCTTTAGTTCATTTTCTGATCTCTCCATCTCTTTTGTGCATATGTGCACTCACTCTCTCTTGCTCTCGTTTTTTTGGTTGTGTTTCAGTCTTTTTAAAATAACTTTGGATTTGCCGTTGGTGGGCAGTGCCGGTCCCCAGAGGCTGAACTGCCCCATAGCAGGGGTAGGCCAAGGGGCAGACCCATGGCTGCTGAGAGGATCTCTGTGTTTAAAGCCTTTGAGAATAAACTACTGCAGTTCCCAGGGTGCAGGGTGGGGCTGGCAGAGGGGTTCCTGGGGCGGCTTCTCCTAGAGTCCAGGCCACAGGGCCCCCCTATCTGGGGAGGAGAGGGCTAGGAAGGAGGGGTCTGGGGAGAGTGAACTGGGAGCACTTCTCCTCCTGCCAACCTCCAGTTTGGTTGAGTTTTGTGGGCTCCCTGCCCATCTCAGGCTCCAAACTTGGGAGCCCACTGTTTTTGGGAAGAGTTTGAACGCTATGATGCTCTAGACAAAGGGGGTGGGAAGAAGGGGGAGTGACAAAGTTTATTTTGTTCCCCTTCTTTGTCTTGGGTTTTCTTTCTTTCTTCTTCTTTCTTTTCTTCTTCTTCTGTTTTAGTTTGTGTGTTTGCCCAGGGGAACACCATGGGATAGAGTGTGTGTATGCATTTAAAGGAGTGGGGGAATGCTGATTCAGTGGGGAGAGTAAAAATGGAACCAAGTGTGTATTTTGTGCATGGTGGGCAGATAGGTATGAGTAATATGGATGCCAAGGGCTGTGTCTATGTGTGTCTGTGAAGACACGGGGCAAGGTTGACACCTGCAAGGACCAAGGATAAGGATCAGTGTGTGTCTGTGGGTAAGGGAGGAGGCAGGAGTCTGCTGGAGGTGGGGTGTGTGAGGCCCACTGAGGGTGGGAACTGAAGGTTCCCATGAGGTGGGCGGAGCCAAAGGTTGGGGCCAGGGATCTGAGCTCCCACCAAATACCCCTTGGGGTACAAGTAGGAGCCCTCCCATCTCCCATCTTGGTTTATCTGTTTATAAAGCTAGAAGTGTAGAGGTAGTAGTAGTTTTTGGGTTGGAGTCCGTGTGAGGTAATCTTGCTTCCTCTTTGGCAAAAGCCACAGCAGCTGTGGCAGCAGTGGCGGTGTTGGTGACGGTGATGGGTGGGCCCCCTGGGGGCGGGGCTGCCTTGCGCCTGTGGGCTGACGAGCGTAGGTGGGAAGCCAGGGCTTCACGGCCACTCAGCAGCACCTCACATGCCAGGCAGTGGTAGGTGCAGATGGGCACCCGTAATGGGGGGGGCACAGAGCCTCCTGAGCCCCGCCCAAAGAAGCAGAAGGATCTCTGGTGGGCAATGGCCGGGGCCTCCCCATCAAATGCCATCTTGCATTGGCGGCACAGGTAACGGTGAGTCACATCCACGGTGGAGATGCCAGTGCTGCCTGTCAGCAGCTCATCAGCCTCACCAGCTTCTCCCTCCCCCGGAGCTGGCAGTTCAGGAGGCTTTGGAGGTGCTGTGCCTGTGGGCTCAGGGGGCTGAGGGGGTGGCTGGAGTAGGGCATTGGGGAGCAGCCCAATGAGGGTCTGAGGTATCACAGGGTTCATGGGAAATAGCCCCTTCTTCATGCCATAGAGCTGCTGGAAGTAGGCCCCCTGTAACTGGGGGCCAAAGACAGCTGGTGGTGCTGCCCCCCCTGCAGGGGGCAAAGGGAAGGGCAGGAATTGGCCTCCCAACAGGGCTGGGACAGTGGCCTTCAATGCTTTGAGGTTCTTGAGGGCATCAGTGGAAGAGTTGGTAGGGGCTGTTAGTGGCTTTCGCTCACCAGAGACCTTGTTCCCTGAGGGCTCAGTGGGCAGGCCCAGGACAGGGTCAGTGGTGCTTGCTGTGGAGGTGTTGGTTTGGTCGGGCACAGGTCTCTGAGGTAAGGGGCGGCCTGGGCCAGCAGTCTGGACCACTGTGGTAGCAGGCAGGACAGAAGTAGCAAGGCTGAGGAGGCCTGAGGAGGCTGCAGGGCCTAGCAAGATCAAAGGGTGATGAAGCATTAGCCATTTCCTGCCTCCACACCCACATTCCCAGCTCCCATGCTCCCTTCCCTCTTTTCCCGGGAGCCTAGGCAGTGATGGTGAACTTTGCAAAGCTTTCAATGGTGAACAGCCCATGGCGGCATGTGTGCCATAGGTTCATCACCACTGGCCTAGAACAAAGGAGGGACACAGGTAGACACTGGACATGGGAGGGTCAGGAAGACAAAGCAAGGGCAACTGTCCCACTCACCTGAATTGAAAGGAGCTAAGCTGCTAAGTGGTGGCTGGGCCAGAGCTGGGCCAGACAAGAGGACTGGGGCCAGGCGAGGCAGGGCTGGGGCAGCCCCAAGGGGCAAGGAGGCAGGTGTGGTGGCAGGTGGAGCTTTGGGAGCTGGGGCTGCCTCAGGTGCTGGGGCCAAGTCGTAGCACTTGCTTTCGCTCTTCAGCTGGGCCCGGACTGCCTCCTTGAGTTTGGCCAGGTGCTGGCGGGAAAAGAGATGGCCTCGGCAGGAGACATAGAAATCATACTTGACATCACAGTAGGGGCAGTCAGTGCGCTGGGCTGCCAAGAGGCCCTCGCTGCTGGCCCCGTTTCCCCCTGTGGCCATCCCCTGCAGTTTGGCCTTCTTTTCCTTGGCACGAGCATTCTGGAACCAGACCTGAATGACTCTCTTGGGCAGCCCGATCTCCTCCCCCAGCACTTCACATTCCTGCATGGTGGGGGTGCGGTAGGCTTCATAGCAGGCTTTCATGATCTTCAGCTGCAAGCTGCTCATCTGTGTCCTGTAACGCCGCTGCCCCATCCCATCAGGAACCCCATTCCCTCCTCCTGGGCCCCCACTGGTCCCTCCAGCCCCAGGGGACTCTGGCTCAGCCAGGCTGGAAGCAGATGAGTCACTTAGGTCTCCTGCAGATGGACTGCAAGCTTCACTCTCTGGAGATGCTTTAGATGACTCTTCAGGGCCCTCGTCCTCACTGGGTAGAGGGGGAGGTGGGAGAGGTAGCAGTGGCTCTGGTGTGGATGTACTGGCCTCCTTCCCTGGTGGTAGGAAAGGTGGGGGCCCAGCACCTGGGGTGGCCGTGGGGTAGGGAAAAGCGGGTGCTTCCCTCTTTGAGGACTCCTTCCCAGTGCTGTCGTCTGACTTGCCCAACAGGAGGTTGAACTTGGGAAAAGGTGCAGGGGTAGATCCAACAGTGGGTTTGACTGCGGGACTGGACACCCCACCAGGAGTGCTTCGAAACTGGCCTTTCCTTTCCCTGGCCCTGGTATTCTGGAACCAGACCTGTACTACTCGCTTTTTGAGCCCCACCTCCTCGGAGATACAGTCAAGCATCTTGCGTGTTGGGTTGGAGTCCTGCATGTACCAACGGTACAGGATCTCCAACTGCTCAGGCAGGATGGTGGTGCGCAGGCGCTTGTCCCTGGGGGGATCCCCATCCACTGCACCCCCTGCTTCACTGCCTGTTGGGGACAGGCTGCCGTCCTCATGCTTCCTTTTGAGGGGTGGCCCTGGCACCGGTGGGGTGCCAGCTGCCAGCGGGTTTCGCTCCCCAAACACCAGCAAAGGCAGATCTAGGAGCTGGGGAGGAGCGCTGGGTTGCACAGATGGCAAGAAATGTAGTCGGCGGTGACTGATGAGAAGGTCCTGGCTGGGGAAGGAGATGGCACACTGCTCACAGGTGTGGGCTGGGGAAGGCGAGGGATTCCCTTCGGGCTCTTTGCTTCCTGACTTGGTTGCCTCTGCCTGGCTCAGCTCTTCCACTTCTGGAGGTTCTGGTGATGGACCCTTAGGTCCTGCTGGGGCTTCCAAGCTCTGTTCCTCCTCTGCATCTTCTTCTACCACTTCCTCCTCTTCCCTTCTCTCTGTTTCTTCCTCCTCCTCTTCAGGGGTCTGATCATCGTAACACTTCTTAAGGTGCCGTACCAACTCAAAAACACAGGAGAAAGTGGTGTGGCATCGCCTGCAGCCAGAGGCTCCCCCAGAGCTTCCTCCGGTTGGCACAGGCCCACCTTCACAGGCATTTTTGCGTGCTTTCTGGCGGGCATTCTGGAACCACACTACTACCACACGGCTAGCCAGACCCAAGAGACTTGAGAGTCGCTCCACCTCTCCATCCTTGGGGTAAGCACTGGTCTCAAAGAAAGACTGCAGGGCCTGGGTCTGGAACTCTGTGAACTTGGTTCTGGAGAACCTGCGGCCTGCAGGAGCTAGGAGAGGATGGTTCCCTTTGGAGCTTTCTTCCTCCTCTGTAGGCCAGCATCCTCCTGCCCGGCTTTGCTCTTCAGGGGCATGGGTTCCTCCTGCCTCAGGCTCCGGAACCCGGAAAGGTGGGCCCAGTTGAGGAGCAGGTGACTCGAGAGACCCATCGGGAAGTTTGGGGGGCTCCACAGGGGGTGGGTATAGGCTATCATAGCTCTTTCGAAACTGGGCGGCATAACGGCTCAGTGCCTCGAAGGGCAGAAAGCGGCGGTGGACATGCTCCTCATGTGTTTTGAGGATAAGCATATTGGAGAAGAGTTTCCCACAGGCCCCACAGGCCAGCTTGTCCCCACCCCCTAGGGCCTCTGGAGGAGGAGGTGTTGGGGGAGGGGGCACAGCCTGCTTCCCTTCATTGTACTGAATCACGAGCTCAAAGCCGAAGTTTTCTAGAAGGGCTTTGGCTGCGGTGCGGGTGGCCTCATTGGGTGATGGGTGGGGTGGTGAGGATGGCCCTGCCTCATTCCCCTCCTCAGCCACGACAGGCCGCTCCCATTCCTGCTCAGCCAGCTCAGCTTTAGGGGGTGGGGGTGGAGGAGGTGGGGTGACAGATGGTAGGGACAGCATGGGTGCAGGCCCAGCTAGTGCCAGCTTGGGCCCTACCTTGAGGTCATGGAGATAGAAGGGAAGGAGCAGCTGTTGCTGCTGGAGCTTAAGCAGTGATTCGGGCATCAGAGGGAAGGGGGGAAATACTGGTGGAGTGAAGATAGGGGCTGGGAATCGGTGCAGGTCCAAGGGGGGCGGAGGTGGGGACAGGAAGGGCAGCCCAGATATGAAGCCACTGGGGTCAGGGCCCTTCTTCTCAGTGCCCACCTCCCCCTCAGTCTCGCCTTCCTTGGGCTCTTCTTGGCTACGCTCTGGCCCCTCAGCCTTGGCATCGGTCTTGGGCCCTCTGGAGCGAGTCTGGTGCAGAACTGACCGCATGTGGATCTCTAGCGTAGAGCTCTGGTTGTAGGAAACCCGGCAGACTGTGCACTTAAAGGGCTTGTCAGTGGCAGTGGTGGTGGTTGGTGGGGCACCAGCCTCTCCACGGGCAGGGCCCGAAGGGTCAATTGCAGCCTTCTTCATCTTATGGAGGTGGGAGACAGAATTATAATGAACCAAAAGGATGTTCTTCTGAGTGAAGGACTCCTTACACACAGTGCACTTGTAGGGCCGGGCAGGGTCCAGAAACTTGTCCAGGGCAAAGTTAGTAGTTTTCCGATAGGTCAGAGGATGGCGAGGATCAGCTGGGGCTGGCTCTGCAGAGCGGGGCTCCCCCGTAGTCCCCTCTTCTTCTTCAGCCATCGTGGGTGGAGGAGCTGTTTCTTCAGTTTGGGTGTCAGGCTGAGGGGCTGGAGATGGAGCTGCAGAAGAAGGTTGCTCAGGGCTTCCCAGTGGCTTGTCTGGAGCCTCAGCTGGGGCCAGAGGAGGCTCAGGAGGAGAATCTGGGCTAGCTTCTGAGGTCAGGTTAGGGCCTTCTATGGAAGACAAGAAAGTGCAGTGAGCAAAGAACTTCGTTCAGGATGGCCCTCGTATCTTTAAAATCTAGGGCAACAAAGCCTGGCTTCACTGTTCTTTAGATCTTCTTAGCCCATCCCCAGGGAAGGTATGCTGTCTTCTTCCTTACCTGCTGTCTGGTCTCTGCTTGGTGTGGGCTCTGGCCCAGGAGTGGGGGCTTGTGGGCCATCCTCCAGAGGGCCGAGTGAGGGCCCAGGCAGCACTTTGGTTGGAAAGGCCATCTCTATGGGTGTGGCCTGTAATGTAAAAAGCTCTGGTGGCTTCACCATCTCCCATCCCCATTGCCCGCTGTGCTATTCCTGTGCTGAGCTTCCCTCCCATAGATCAGCCTTTCTGGACAAACACACCTCCTACTGGCTGCTTCCCTACGACGAAGGCCTGAGATGCTGCCTTTCCTCTCAGCCTCCCTCCTTCCCCAGGCCAAGGTCAGCTTTCCTCGAGGCCACCTGGCCCTGACAGACCTGGAGTTGCTGTCTTGTTTGTCATCTCCAGATTTAATGGAAGTGAGAAGTGCTGAGTTTCCTCATCCAGTAGATGCAGCCAGCCAGGCTTAGCTCTGAGAGTCCCTCCAACTCAAAATCCCACTCCAAATCTGTGAAATGATGCTTTCTTCATCAGCCTCCCCCTAACACCTACACTTGTCTGCAGGGCACTGCACAGTCCTGCCTAAGCCTCAGTGGACCATCCTCACCCAGCCTGTACTCACCACAAGCAGCAGCTTCTCAACACATTCAGGGACTACGTTGTGCAGGTGGCTGAGGTGGAAGTGCAGGGCAGGCCGGCCTACCAGCTGCTCCTGGCACAGTGGGCACCTGTATTTGGGCTGCACTGCATGCTGGGAGAGTGTATGAGCCCTCACTTGGTCAGACTCTGGGCTCGAGAAACTGCAGTATGGACAGCAGTACACCTGGGGAGCACAAATGGACAGTGGAGGAGGTGTCAGGGAAGGGGACCCACCATTACACAGTCATCCGGGTTTGCCGGTGCAGCTGTCCCTCCTCCCAGTTTAGTAGGAACAAGCCAGATGGGAAGGCACCTCAGCCCCAAAACCTGAGAGCTGGCTTCTCTCCCACCTCTCTTGGACTGAGACAGAAGATTTAGCGTAAGCCGTGACCTTGCTTTCCTCCTTTCTTTGGCACTTTCTACTCATCTTGGCCTCTATTTTTTTTGTTATTGTTGTTGGTTTTTCTGTATCTCTGCTGACATACTCAATTCTCCAGCTGACAGCACTGTACCTGCCTCCATCTCACATTTAGTTTTTTGGCTCACACCTGTCCTGCCTGTATCTTCTCTGTGAAATGCATCCAGTTCCTTTGGGTACCTTCTAGACCCAGAGATCTCTACTCACTTTTGCCACTGAAGGTTCCTGAACGTTTCCCACAGAGGGGTCCTACCTGTCTGCTCAGAAATTGGCTCATTTTCCCTCTGGTTCAGAAGCTCCCACATTTTTTTCCCCTGTCTTTGTAATATGAACAAATGCCCTATCTTCCCCATGGGGCCTGAGCTGCAGCACACTCCTGCCCATACTTCAGGAGGGGCAGAGCCAGGAAAGGCCTGCTGTCACCACCTGACTGTCTCAGCTGGCCAGCCTGAGCTGCAGAGCAAACTTATCTGTGGCTCATTTCCTCTCTCTCCTGTCACCTGAAGTGGGTGGCTGTAGAGGAGAGAATCCAGATGCTCATCTTAATGTACCCACTAAGCCTTAGAGCGGACATCATAACAGATCTGTTGAGCAGGAGTTAAAAGGGAGACAAGCCGTGAGTCCCCGAATAGCATCTCAAGGCCAGAGGGTGGGAACCCTTCAGAATCAACTTTCAGATCGCAAAGCTAAACCACTCTGAGATCCTGCTAGGTCCAAATCCTGGGGGCTTGGAGGCTTGCAGGACATGCTTTCAGCATGAATCATTTGGTTGGTGCTTCCACCTTCCAGAAGAGGGTGTCAGGACAGTCTCATTCAGACTCAGCTTTCTGCAGGATGAAAATATCTGCGTGTAGTTGTCTCTCTGCAGTTGGTCTTTTTGTTGTTTATTTTTTTTGAGACAGGGTCTCCCTCTTAGTCCAGGCTGCCTTTGAACTCAGTATGTAGCTCAGGCTGGCCTTGAACCTACAGTGAGTGATTCTCCTGTCTGGGCCACACTGGGGTTATAGTGCCTGCCAACATACCCCACGTGGTAGCTGGTCTTTAGTTTTGCCTTTCTCTTTTCATCTCTTCACTCTTTCCTCCTTTCCTGCCATCTGTCTCCCTCATCCCTGCTTTAATATAGTTCCTCTCTTGTACCTCTCCCTCTAACTCCTACCATCCCTTCCTCTCATCTGCTGTACCCCATCCCTTGGGCCATTTCTGTTGTTTATGCTTAACATATGTAATTGGCCCTGATATAATTTCTCACATGTGGGATTCTGAGTGAAATAAGTCACAAGTATACTAAAAGTGCCTAGAATATGACCAGACCCCCCTCTCAACTGGTCCCGTTTCCCCAGTTCTGACCGTGGTTTGGTTGGCACTGTCTCTGGAAGGGCCAGTCTTGTTCTCTGCCTCTTCAGAAGCTGAGGATGAAAGCAGAGCAGATTAAGAGACTCCGACAGCCTTCCCTTTTCTGTTCACAGACACCCAGCCCTTAAGATGATTTGTAGTAGAGGACTTTCTGGGCAGCAAAGTGGGTTCTTGGAACAGGCAAAAGGGCAAGAAACTCAGTACCCAGGTGAGGCCTGAGTCAGCAGCCAGGCAGGGGCTAACTGTAGGTGGGTAAGGTGGCCAGGGTTGGGTCCTCTGAGAAGGTAGAAGCATCTAGCTCAGCCTCCCTTCCCTCTAATGAGCCCCTCCTTTTTTTTTTTTAATCTTTTTAAGACAAGGTCTTTCTATGCAGTTCAGGCTGGCCTTGAACTCAGTTTGCAACATAGGCTGGTCTCAAACTCACAACAATCCTCGTGCAACCTCCCAAGTACTGGGGTTACAGGTGTGTGCCACCATGCCCAGCCTAATGAGCCCTTTCACGGACCAATGTAGCCTCAGCATAGGAGGCTTTGTTGGGGGCTTAGATCTCTGTGACGACCTGTGAGCATGTCAGAATGTTATGGAGGACTGGGACTGGGGGACAAGAAAGAAAATAGGACCACAGAAGCAACTCACCCAACTGTTCTGTCTTGTTCTGGAGATCTTTCTCAAAGGTGGGTGGCTCGGCTAGGGGGGTGACAGGAGTCTTCCCTGTGTAGGATAGGGGAAGAGTTAACTTAAAGAGGTGAAGCATCAGGGAAGAGAGGACAGAGGAAGCAGGACAAGCAGCCAGTCAACAAAGAAGAGATAAATGGGTAATCAACAGGTAGGAGAGGATAAAACCCCCGAAAGAAATCATCACCAAGAAGGCGAAAGGCAAAATTATAGTAATGGAACTAGGAGGGCTTAAGAGATCATTTCAGGCAAATCTTGCCACCCTTGTCTTTTTGTAGAAATAAGCCTTACAATAGGCAACAGAAACTGGACTACACTTGGACCCTTGTCTTGACTGACCCTAGAAGCAGGGAATCCCAAAAATATAGTGGGAGGGGCATTCTGGAAGGTGCTGAAGTTGAATGGAAAGGCAGTGGTGGTGAGCAGGAGCAGCAGGCCTAGCTGGGAGAGAAGATTACCACTCAAGTAAGAATTGACAGATGTGTAGGAATTTATTTTCAGTGGCAGCCTAATTAAAGTGTTAAAGTTCCTTAACTCCATTCAGCCCTGCGCCAGGATCGTTAGCTATTGATCTGGGCCCCTCCAGCACTTAACTCCAGCCAGCATATTGGCAATTCAATTAGCACCAGTCAATGCCGCTTGTTCCTGGTTCCTGCTGCCTGTGCCCTCACCCTCGCCCACTGCTGGCCTCTGCAAAGCCTGCAGTCCATGCCCATCTCTGTTTGACAGCCCCTTCCAGGCTCTTCTGCACCTTTTGGATCGATGGTGCTGGGCTGTTTCTGGCCCCTGCTGGCACAGCTTCAGCCGCCTAAGGGGAGCTCTAAGCCCAGCCGTAGGGCTGAAGACCTCCTAAGAGAGGAAGAGGCCAGGAAGTTTATTGGTGCCTCTTCCCATCCCTGCTGCTTTCTCTCCTTTCTGACCAGCTTCAGCCTGTGGTTTCCCACCCCCACAGGTGCTAGGACACCAGTCAATACTGACTCACTGGGCGATTTCCCCTCATCTCCCTTCCTGTTCTCTATTCTCTACCCAGCCCTTCTCAGCATGCCTCCAAATTCCCTCTTGTACCCTCTCCTCACAGGGCAGCCACTGTGATTCTGTAGCCCCCATCCTAGCTTATTTCCCTCCATGGCTGTTTTCTTCGTGCTGTTGATGAGACCTATTTCTCCTTCCTGTTTCACCCTCTTAGCTCCCTGCTGCCCACCTGCCCAGTCCTCATTCTCCAGGCCCCTCTTCCTCACCAGGAGCTCGGAGCTGCCCATGGCTGAAGCTTAGGATGCTCTGAAGAGCTGAGAGTCCGTCCTCGGCTGATGGGCCATTCTGTAGCAGCTGCAGACGCCTCTGGGCTTGAGCATCCCGGTGGGCAGGTGCGCGGAGGTGTTGCAACACAGCCAAGCGGGAGGGTGTTTCCCAGGCACACAGCAGGCAGTGGTAAAGCCCCAGGTCCATCCCTGCCTCTGCTCCTTCCATTTCCAGCAGAAACTAGAAGCATGGGAAGTGGCTGGCACTCAGGCCCTAAAGGGACACCTCCATATCACAGACTTTGCTTCCCACACTTCCTCCCAAGGCCGTTTCCCTCCAGTGATCACCTGAGTATCTGCTTGGCCTGGACAGCACTCCCTCCTGTATGTGAATGAAATCTGCTTCTGTCTTTTTGAACTTTTGGTAATGCGATGGACTGAGCTGACACTGACTCCTCCCTCCAGCCCCAAATACCAGAAGAGCTGAATAAAGTCTTTGTTTCATGTTCTCAGAGTCTACTATCCTTTGGTCTCTAGATTCTCTGGGTCTGTCCAGTTAACCCTGGTGCTTACTTCCCTTTTCTTCATTTCTGCTGACTTGACTTCCCTACTCTGCACCTCCTCTCACCATCTCCTTCCCCTTCTCTTTCCTGCCCCAGCCTCACCTTATAGATCTGGCTGTTTTCTTCATGGGCTGAGCCCCGGGCATGCAGCTGCATCTTCTCCTTGCTATTGGACTCAAAGTCACAGATGTTGCAGCGCAGATGCAGGGGGGAAATAGACCCATAAGGGGTCCCATCACCTAGGGAGACTGGGGAGGGAGTGCCCATGGCCCCACCCCCTTCCCGCAAATGGGCTGCTAGCTGGTACTTCTGTGCATGTTTGTCGGTCTTGAGGTGGAGTTGGAAGTTGGCCTTGAGCTGGGTGCCATAGCAGCAGAGCTTGCAGCGGTGGGTATCACCTGCCACCTCCTTCCATTCAGCTTCTGGGAGACTTCGACCAACACTGCAGTGGTAGAGCAGCAGCTCCAGGCTGTCTGTGCTGAAGGCCTGGCACACCAGGCAGCGGAACACCTTCAGGGATGGGCTGTCATCCGGGGGTGGTGAGGTGGACAAGCCATCGGACGAGGAGCCCAGGAGCTGACTTGGAGGCAGGTGGGCCTCAGGGGAGAGGCTGCCAGGGGCTAGGAGACAGAGCCAGATTAGTGTCTAAGAAAGAGATGGGGCAGGGTCAGTTATATGGAGAGGTGGGTTAGTAAGTTGGATGGTACTCAGAGGACGTTATGGTTAACTAAGCCAGAAACTTGCCTTTGGGAGAAAGCAAGGGTGGTAGACGTCAGCCCGGACAGAAGGATAGAGTTCAGGGAGCTTACCAGGTGTGGGGAACTTTCGGGTAGGTGCTCCAAGATGGTGGAAACCGTTGAGAAGCAGCTGGGCTTCCAGGGGCTTGTCTGGCCTCAGCCCGGGGCCAGGCATGGGAGTCTGAGTCTGCCCTAAAGCCTGGGACCCGAAGTACTGGAAGAGTTCAGGGGGGTTGCTTGGGGCTGCCCCTGGTGGGGGAGGAGGTCCTGGCCCCACCAGACCAGGGGGCAGGCCCAATGGCAGCCCCTGGTGCAGCATTAGGACGTTCTGCATGTGCTTCTCAGAGGTCATGTGGATGCGCAAGTTGCGGGAGATGTTTGTCTCATAGCTGCACACCTTGCACTGCCAGGATGATTTGGTCTTGGGCTCTTTGTCTCCTGCAGAGGGTAGGAGTGATGCTTCTGGGGGGCTTCCTTGTCCCCCAGGTCCTGCCTGGAAGCCCTGCAGGTTGGCCAGGTGCTTGTCAGACTGCATGTGGATGCTGAGGTTGCCTTTGGTGGTAGTGGAGTAGTTGCAGACAGCGCATCGGTAGGGCTTATAGCCGCAGTTGTAGCTCTCTCCCCGGGCTAGGCGGGGGTGTGCGCCCCCGGCACTGCAGTAGCTACAGTGGCTGTTGCTCTCTGGGTGTTTCTCCCGCATGTGCACATCCAGTGTCTGCTGGTACTTGTAGTGCCAGTTGCACTTGGGACACTTTAGGGTCTTGCAAGAATTCCGGGAGTGTAGCAGGGACATGTGGCTGGACAGGCTGAGGCCCTGGAAGGCTGCAGGAGCTGGAGTGTAGTCGTCGGTCAGGCGGTAGGGCTGGGGTGGGTCACTGGAGTCTTCAGGGGAGCCCCCTAAAGGGGGGAGGGCGCCCCCTTCCTTAGAGGTGGGTGAGCTTTGGTTGAGTGGGGGACAGAGTCCTCCATCCTCTTGCCCCTCAGGGAACCAATCTGGCCCTGCCTCGCCTGCTACTACTGGCAATTCTTTGGCTTGGGTTGGGCTGGGGTCCCAGGTGGCTAGAGTTGTGGGTGGGGAGGGTGGGCTGAGAGCCATGACTTCTTCAGTGGGGAGGACAAGGGTCTGGACTTCTGCCTCAGGATGACCATCCTCAGTCTGGGGTGCATTCGTCTCCATGTTCACTGTGCTGCTGTTGTCAAGGGGTGTTTCAAGAGGGGGACAAACAAGGGATTTTGGTTCCAGAAAGCTAATAAGGGCTGTACAGCCCTCGTCTCCCTCCTGGAGCACTGCTGGGCTGCCTAGCAGGCCCTGGTGTTGAGCAGGGGTTAGCTTCACCCCATGAGACTGTGTGTGCTCCATAAAGGCCTGGGGCCTGCTAAAACCCAGACGGCACTGAAGGCAGAACCAGAAGAGTGCCCTGTGATCTCCCCTACTGCTCCCCGTGGGACCATCTTTGGGATCTCCGGGTGGATTTGGAGCCAGCTGGTAGCTCCAGAAGGCTCCATCCCTTCCCTCACAGGCAGCCGGAGATGGCGCTGAGGTATCATGGGACAGAATTTGGTCAGAAGAGCTAAAGCCTTGGATTGGGTCAAAGCCATGTTGGATGTGAAGGGCAGTGAGGTGTGTGGGGGTTGGGTGGGCAAGGAGAGGCAGGTTCGGCTCTTCCTTGATGCCTGCCTCACCCCAGGGGAAGCCCTTTGGTAACAGGAGTTCATTGCTGCCTGGCAAGGACAGCTTGGCTGCTAGGTAGGCCTCACCACCAGCTGAAAAGAACAAGTGGTTGCTTAGGTCCATGGGAGAGAGCCCTTCTTCCTCCTCCTCCTGCTCTTTGTCCTTTTCTACTCCCAGGTCCTTTGGTGTGAAGCCACCACAGCCAGGCTCTTCTTGGGGCTCCCCGATCTCCTTTGGTGGGGTGAGATTACAGCTTGGCTCCAGAGGCTGTCCCCCGAGCTCTGAGGGCCTCATGCTCTCAGAGGTGGAGGGGGCAGCAGGGGGATCTTTGGTGACAGGGTCAGAGGAGGTGCTGGAAGAGGAGGTGTCCGGAGGCGGGGACGGGGCATTGTGCCCAGGGGAGGGGGTGGTGCCAGCAGTACAGGCTGAGTTAAGGGTGGCCATGGTAGACGGAGGAATGCTGGAGGTTCATTTCAGCGTGACGGCCAGTACCCTGCAGGGAAACCCAGAGAGCAGGACAGTGAGGCCACAGGGACACCAACCAGGCTCAGTCTCTGGATACTCCAGCTTCGTTTTCTCCTAGCTGCAGATTCAGACACCCACTCGCTAACCCGAAGCTTCACTTAGTGTCCAATAGGCTTCAGAAATTAACTCGTTCATTATTTCTCCCAGAATCTGTTCCTCTTAATCTCAACTGTGTACATCAAAAGTTGATACCATGCTGGGTATGGTGGCACATGCTTGAATCTCAGCACTCGGGAGGCTGAGGCAGAAGGACTGTTGAAAGTTTGAGACCAGCCTGGGCTATATATAAAGTGAGCTTAAGGCCAGCCTAAACTGCATAGCGAGACCCTATCTCAAAAAGACCAAAAAAAAAAAAAAAAAAAGAAAGAAAAAGAAAAGGTTGATACCATTTATCTATTCCAGTTGCTTAGGCTAAAAGCCCCAAAACTTTTCTTTGACCTTCCCAAATACCACCTCCCTTTCCTTGTACTGGGGATCAAACTCACAACCTTGCACTTACCAGGTTGGTACTTGAGCCACTGAGCTAACTTCCCTGGTAGGCTTCCAGACCCATCTGTGGTCAGGAGCATGTTTCCCAGGTGGGAGTTTCCCTGGCCAGTTGAAAGACAATAGCTCTTATGTTGCCCCCTCCTTCCCAAAGGGCTTTTTTTTTGTCTTTTTGCTTTTTATCGGGGTACTGGGGATCGAACTCACGACTGCCTGCTTGCAGGGCAGGCGCGTATGCCGCTGAGCTAAATCGCCAGCCCTTCCCAAAGAGATTTTAAAAGAATGTTATTCATAGCTATTATGTAGCACATACACCACAGTCCTGGCCTGATGTTAAGAGCTTATCAATTATCTCATTTAACCTCATAGCAACCTTATTTTATTGATGAGGCAACTAAGAAACAAGTTAGGGGCTGGGGATTTAGCTCAGCGGCATCAGCGCCTTTCTTGCAAGTTCAATCCCTGGTACCGATAAAAATGAAAAAGACGAAAAAAAAAGAAAAAGAAAGAAACAAGTGAGCTACTGGTGGTCATTAGGTTCCAAAGCGGTAAAACTAGGAAAGGACTAGACATATATAGTTACAGGACAAATAAACCTCTAAAAGAGTAACAGGGAGTCCTGGACTGCCTGCAGCTGTCTAAACACACCAATGCTTCTCCCAACCTTTTTGCCACCATAATCTCTCAAAGTCATCAATTCCCCATGCCTCTCTCTATCCCTTCTTGAGGTATCCCAAGCACCTGCCGCCATCTTTTCTCCTTGCATACCTGAGCATGTCTAACTTTGGCACTCAAGCAAGACTGCTTCAGGGAGAGGGCGAAGGGAATGACCTCTTTTCCTTGGCAACCTTGAACCCTCACCCCCAAATTCTTCAATTTAGAATGGGTCCTTGTGATGGCCCCAACCAGGGGGCAGACCTCTGTTTCTCCCCCTCCTTTCTTGAGAGAGTCTAGCCAGGCATGAAGCCACACAGCTTTAAGGAGCTGAGAGGGGCTGGCTTAGCATGCTAATGAGAATGCAAATCAGTTCCTACGAAAGGGGTGGGAGGGAAGGCTGGGCAGGGGGTCTGAAAACCTAAAGGTAAGTGAAGAAATTGGACTGGGGAGTAGAAAGAGAAAACTGGCCCCTGAAGTTGTGGAAAGAAGGTATTCTTCCTAGGGATCCTTGGTGGTGGGAGGGAGTAAGTGCAGTGATTTATGAGTGGCTGATGTGCTCCTGTCCTTGCTACAGGTTGGGCCCACTGCCTTCCACCACCTTACCTGGCGGGAGAGCTGGGGCCCTTGCTCCTGGAGCTGAGCCTGGTGGGTGCTCCTCCAGCAGGCTGCCTACTGTCACCAGCTCCTTCTGGGTACCTAACTCAACTCCACCTCACAGCTCAGGGGAGACCTAAGTAGACTCTCTGCAGTAACCCTCTGATATGCGCTTCCAAGTATTTAGTTCCTAGGACTGGAAGAAATAATAGCTTAATGCCTGGATAGGAACCAAAGAAGCCAAGCTTTTGGCTAGCTTGTGAGACCCGGATGGACCCAGGGTAGGTCGGCAGCTGTTTAAAATTGCAAATCTCTTCCTGTGTCCCAACCTATCCCTCCTCCCCTTTGGGAAGGAATTTCAATTGCAAATTTATCTCTGCCTCAGTGCCTCTCCCCCTACCTCCCACTGCCACAAATTCCCCTCCCCCTTTCTTCTTAGGGCTTCTTGCATCACTCACCATGTATTACAGATCTTTAGCTGCAGCAATTACTTTTCACTTTTTTCTCCTTCCATTCGCTCCATCCTTTCTGCCTCCCCTCCTTGAATCTCATGCCCTTTTCTCTGCCGTTCCCACCTTAAACTGGAGATAACACAGAAATGGGCCTAAAAGTAACCCCTCATCCAAGCGCCAATGCACTTGTTCACCCAGGCTCTGCAAGTCCTGCTTTCCTCCAGGGTACCCTCCTCCCCAGGGAGCCATCTCAGGTATGAGTAAAGGGAGGACCCTGACATTCCTACGTCTCAAGGGAGGGGGAAGAGGGCGGAGGGGGGAGGCCCAACGTCCACTGGAGGTAGGGGACTGTCAAAAGGACCTGGGTGGAGGCCAGGGCTGGGGGTCTCTGGAGGAGAGGGGCTGGGGAGCTGGCAGGCAGTGTGATTAGAGCAGAGATTGATGTGAAGGGGCGCCACAGACGGCAGAGAGAGTCAATAAAACGAGAGGATCACATTAGAGGCGACAGAGAGAGCTTTAAATTACAAGGCTGCTGCCACTGAGGAGGGTGGGGGGAGGGAGGCCTGGAGCCAAGGGAGGGCGGAGAGTTCTGAGGGTGTAGTCATCCCAAGATGGATCTGCTAGCTCCGAAATGGCCTTCGGTTTCCAGAGCTTCCTGGCTGCCCCTTCGTCCTGTCTTTCCTCCCTCAGGCTTCCTTCCCTCACAAGGGTGAGGAGGACCGGAGGAGGGCACTGCAGAGACAGATCCTTTTCTCTTTTTTTGAACTGCCTTCTTTCCTTACTTGGCACATGGATCTCTGGTTATTCCTCCAGAGGAGAGGCAGTGATGGAAGTGCCACTGTCAGGCCCAGCAGGAGTCACTGCCTCACAAACAAAAACACACACACAAAACAGTTACAGGGACTGAACTACAGAAGTAAGCAGAGATACAGGACCTGGAACGGAGTGAGCCAGCCAGAAGGCAACAGCATGTACACCAGGACGGGGAGAGAGAAAGAGAAAGAGACAGACAGAGATTTTAGGAGACAGAAACCAAAGGGCCTGGATGTGAAACTGTGGAAGCAGATGCAAAGCCGAAGAGGCAGGCTTTGAGATCCAGCAAGATGGGACACAAGCTAAAAGGGAGAATTACTGGAGCCCGGGGTGCGAGGGACAAGAGCAAAGGAAGGACCAAAAATGAAAGCAAGAGCGTGACCCTCCCAGATGAGAAGCCAGGGTGTGGGGTGAGCTGGCTGCAGAACCCAGATAAAGCAGACTAGGGGGGTTTCCTCCGGAGAAGCCAGCAAGAGCATACTTCCCTTGGTACCACCCTCTCCCAGCTCGGGCAGACCAGGCAGGAAAAAGAAACACTACTGCCCCCCAGTGGTCACCAAGGGAACACCACCAAAGACAGGGCTGACCGATGCAGGCCTGATTTTCTCCTCTTCAATTCCCTTCCAAAAAACTCTCAGCAAAACCTGCCTCCTTTTCTCCAAACCCAACTACAGGGAAAAAATGGTATTTTTTTGAGACATAGTTTCAAAAGAAATTATGCTGGCCTTGAACTCATAAATAGTGCAGACTGGCCTTGAACTTGGGGTCTCAGCCTCCTAGAATGCTGCGGTCATAGTTATGTGCCACCACACCCAATATAGGGCAAAAAGTTTTGTACTGCTGTTTCCACATTCACTTTGCCCTTGTCTTTTTCCCATTTTGGTTTGACCTGTTGCTTTCAAGAGGAGGCTACCGTGGAGAAAAGGGGAAAAGTACCAGGACAGATGGAGTGTGGTTCCCTGTGTCAGGAGACTAATGATATAAACAGCAAATAAACCAAGCAGTTGAGCTTCCTCCCCACCCTCCTTCCTCTTGTGGTGCTGCAGAATCAAACCCAGGATCGTGCTCATTCTAGGCAAATGCTCTGCCGCTAAGCTACACCCCCAGTCCCTTGAGAAACCTCTCCCAGAAGTGCTGGTGATTGAACCTAGGGCCTGGCGAGTAGTAGGCATGTCTCCACCCCTGAGCTGCACTCCAGCCTCCTGCCCCGCCTACCCATAATGGGAACTGAACCCAGATCCTTTGCACTAAGCCACCCTCTCCCTTTTAACTCAGGACCTCATAAATCACTAAATTGTCCAATCTGTGCTCAAACTTGTGATCCTTCTGCCTCAGCCTCCCAGAATCTCTGGAATAGGAATGCATCACCATTCCCAAATCCCAGCCCTTTTTATTTTACCTTGACACAGGATTTTGCTAAATTGTCGGAGTTGGCTTCTAACTTGTGATCCTTTGGCCTCAGCCTCCAGAGCAGCTGGGGTTTGCCACCTTTCCTGGCAACTGAGCTTTATTTCTTACAGTAATAAAAGACCATGGGCTTTGGATCCAATGCAGACCCAAGTTCCATCCCAGCTCCACTGTCCCTTGAAAGTTACTGATGAAGATACAGCTTGTTTATCTGGGAAAATAAGAATGCTACTGCCCTCCAGTTTTAGAGAACAGAGCAGGAAATGTGTGACAAGTGCATCTGTTGAGTGACAGTGAGGTAAGTTCTTTTCCTTGATTCCTCCCCTGGATCATAGCAAGGTGTCTGCACAGAGGCTGACACCTATTACTTTGACCTTTCTTAATGGGCTCATCCTCTGATCTCTGCCCTTTTTTTTCCTTCTTTTTTTTTTTTTTTAAAAACAAGGCATCACGATGTATTTCAGGTTGGGTTTGAACTCACTATGTTGTCTAGGCTGGCCTTGGCCTCACAGTGATCCTTCTGCCTCAGCCTCCTGAGTTCCCAGTTGCTGGGATTACAGGCATGCATCACCTTGTCTGGCTCTTTTTTTTTTTGGTACCAGGGATTGAACTCATGACCTTGCGCTTGGCAGGCAGGCACCTGTGCCTCTGAGCTAAACCCCCAGCCCTCATGTTTTATTTATATTTTGTGTTGAGACAAAGTCTGGCTCTTTAGTTCAGGCTGGCCTTGAACTCACTATGTAGCCCAAGTTGGGCTTGAACTCAGCAATCTTCTTGCACAGCCTCCCCAGTGTTGAGATTACAGGCAAGTGCCACCATGCCTGATCAGATTTCTATCCTTTTCAAAAAAGGGCAAAATAGGTAGGCAGGATTGAAATATAGTTTTCTCAACAGTGTAGTTGACTTCTTACTTGGCTTTCTTGATTGGTGGGCCTAGAAACGCCAGTTATCACAGAGCAGAGTGAAAGTTTTGCCTAGACTCACACACTGACTGGGTATAGCAGAAACTCATAACTGGATCAAAATTGTGGCCTCAGTTGGATGTGATGGCATATACTTTTAATCCCAGCACTGGGAAGGCAGAGGCAGGAAGACAGCTGTGAGTTCAAGGATATTATTAACTAGGTAGCCAGAGTGTGTTAAAAAAAAAAAATTACTATGGCCTCTCCCTGCATTTAAAGATATCATTTTCTTTCTTTATTTTTTTGAGACAGGATCTCACAGTGTAGCCCAGGCTGCCCTTTAACTTGCTATGTAGCTCAGCTCCCCTGAGCTTAGTATAGCCCAGGGTGGCCTTAAACAGGTCTCTGGCCTCAGCTTGAGTGCTCAGAATACAGGCATGTGTCACCACGCCCACCTCTGAATTTTACCTTTTGTAGCTAAAAGAAAGGTAAAATAACAGTAATCCTTATTTCTCCATTTCAATTCTACTTATCTCTTCTGCATCTCTCTCCCTGATCCCTCATAAATATTCAGGGAATGCTAGAATGCTTACTTCACAAAAGCTAAGTTTTGTCCAAAAGAGAGAAAATGAATATTATAGCAAATAAAATAGACAAGTAGAAGAAATGTCATAGAGGGTAAAGAAAACAATGGTTGGGGCTGGGGATTTAGCTCAGCGGCATAAGCGCCTGCCTTGCAAGCAGGCAGTTGTGAGTTCGATCCCCGGTACCGATAAAAAGGAAAAAAAAAAAAAAAAAAGAAAGAAAACAATGGTTAAGTCAGAGGGAAAAAAAGAGGGAGAGAGGTAGAGGCAGAGGCAGAGAAGTAAGGAGGAGGATAAAGGGGATCCTGATATACATATAAAAACATTGGTCTCTTCCAGGCCTGCAGCTCCAGCACTCATTGGGAAACTGACTCCAGTGAGAGGGGGGGCAGCAGAAGGGGGTCTGAAACCTTGCTGTCTCATGTGGGCACGAAGAAATTGGGCAAGATGTGCAGAAAAAGGGGGAGGGCTCATAGGCAGGGGTAGGCAGGGGTAGGCAGGGGGCAGTAGGCACATGTGCATGGTTATTGACCAGTGCTGTGCTGTTTGCTGTTGGCAGGGGCTGGTGTCCAGGGAGACGCCTCCTGCCTAGCCTCTCCCTCCTTGGATGACTTGGAAAGTGTTAGATATTTTGGAACAGCAGCGCAGAGCTGTTTGATATCACAGTGCATGTGCTGGAGAGGCACAAGAGGGGTCCTGTTCTACATAGCTCAGGCTCAGCCAGCTCAGCACCCTTCTTCAGTGTGAGGGCTGGGGTTGTGCCTTGTGCCCTTGAATTCAGATACAAGATCCTCTAGCACTGGGGACCTCTACAGAACACGGTGATCTTCCTGAGTATGGAGAAAATCTCAGGCAGCTCTGCTACAGTTATTTGAAAGGATGTCACTGTTTGTTTTGTTTTGTTGTTTAACAGGGGATCAAACTCAGAACCTTGCACCTGCCAGGCAGGCACTTGTGCCACTGAGCTACAATCCCTGGCCCCCTGGAAGGGTACCATTGTAAAAGGATCATTAAATCTTTCTGGTTCTTTGACCTGATGAGAACCTATGTGATGCAGTGAGTCAATTAAATGCTATTAACAACAAGTACTACCAGAGGTTGAGCATACTTACTCTGTAAACCCAAAATCTAAAATGCAGGCTGGGGGTGTAGCTCAGTGGTACAGTGCCTGCCTTGCCTGGGTAAGGCACTGAGTTTGATTCCTGCACTGTAAACAAACAAAAAATCCAGAATGCTCCAAAATTTTAAACATTTTATCTCCCAAATCTGAAACTGAGAGGTGTCTGTGTGTGTGTTGGGGGAGAGGGGTACTTAGAATTGAACCGCTATATCACTAGCTTTTAAAAAAAAAAAATGAGATCGGGCCCTGCTAAACTGCTAAATTGCCTGGGCTGGGTGTAGCTGGGCAATCCTTCTGTCTTGT